GTTATGTACATCTTATATTCATCATATAGTTAACGTTATGTACATCTTATATTCATCATATTGTTAATATTATGTACTATATGATGAAGAATAAGCCTATTTACTAGTTTTGAGTTGCATTTTCTCCAAGATAATCTTCTAACCCACTAACTCGTTTAGAAATAATAATGTATTTTTATACTTGAATATATCGGTGATTATATATAAAAAAACTCCCTTATCTGAACTTTTCGAGAGTCGCATATATATATTTGATTAAATGGCATCTGTATTCTGTATGGAGATCAGGCAGTATTAGTGTTTATAGTCAATGTTTGAGGCTTTCCTTGAATGTTTGTACAAAGATTTGGTGATAAAAACATATTTTTCGGCTTTCAAGCGCATAAAGTATCTCTGAAGAAAATGGAAAATGCTTTTGTTTCATAAACAATGAAAAAGGTGCACCAGCTGTGTTTGTGCGCTGAGCCTTCGCTCTTCTTTTTTGAAGTATTTAAAGCATGAGAGAGCGTTTTATTCTATCGGCAACCCAGTCCAATTAAATTAGTTGAATATTAAATTTCAGCCAAGTAATTCAGAGGCAGGCTCCAACCAGAGGGAGCTGATATTAGATTTTTGATATTAGATTCTTCTTCAACTTTTCTTTGTGTTTTAAACAGCAGATTCTAAAGTTCCTCACTGTTACAAAATAATAATAATAACAGATCCTAATGATGTTTTAATCTATTTAAAACTTCGGTAGGACGGACTTACGAAAATATGCAAGTAAATTATTTTGATGATAATTAAAAGTTAAGATCATAAACATACAAATAATTTATATATATATATATATAGATAACTAGCGACGAGCCCCAAGTGGCACAGCGGTATGTCTGCGGACTTATACCGTTAGAAACCGGGTTTCGATACCCGTGGTGGGCAGAGCACAGATAGCCCTTTGTGTAGCTTTGTGCTTAATAATAAACAACAACTAGCGACGACACATAACTCTTTACTTTTTCAACTCGAACATAACACAAGGTAAAAGTTTACATATATAGATAAATTTTTAATTAAATATTGCAACCTTGAGATTGTTTCATTGGTCTTTATAGTCAATTGTTTACCACTTTTTTCATTAGATAAATTGTTTACCACTTTTTTCTTTAGATAAATTATTATTTCATAAAAACAATTTAATATATTTGAAAGCTACGATGCGCATAAAAAAAAAGACCAACATATCTGTATGGTTGAAACGAAGGAAGAAGGCTTACTTTAGTCTAGAAAGTTTCGTTTTTGAACACTGATTCTAAAACTCCACGTTCTAAAGAGTTTCGTGCAACGTTTATAGCTCCACAAACGTCTGTATGGTTGAAACGAGTGATGAGGGCCTACTTCAGTCAAGGAAGTTTCGTTTTAATACGTTGATTCTAAAACTCCACGTTCTGAAGAGTTTCGTGCAACGTTTATATATCCTAAAATCTAGCAACCTCTCAAGAGTATTTCATTAGTAAGCTATAAATGAATACACATATGTACGTATGTAAGTATGTATAGTAGTTGAAATAACTGTGGGAACGATGAAGGAAAAACAGCAAGTGCTACAGAAATAACACCTCTTAATTATATGAAAATCAACTACACCAGCGTACAGTCACGTGTTGATAGTTTATACTGTGATTGGTTGTCACCTAACGAATTAGAAAGTACCACATTAGTATAAACCTATAATACTATGCACTGCTCTGAATCTATAGGTGACTTTAAGAATATACATAACGTGTAACAAACGTGTAGAATTCAAAGGTTCTACAGATCAAGTTTACTCCATTTTCAAATAGAAGTTGTGTACAAGACTCTGGTGACGTTACATGAAACTAACGGTGTTAATGATAGAAGTGATCGACTTATAAAACAGAAACTCCACATTGGTGGCACCCTGACTGCTAGCAAGTACAAGCAGATTCTGATGTATAATGTTATTTCCTCAGGAACAGGACTCATCGGGTGGGAATTTATATTCCATAAGACAATAATTCCAAGCATACAGTAAATGTGGAGAAACGATATATCGACGGAAGGGGTCCAGTGGAACTGTAGTGGCCATGGTTGGCCTGCACAAAACGTCGACATGAATATTCTTCAGTTTGCAAGGGCTTATACAAAAACTGAGAGCGTCAGAAGGTGAAAAAAAAACTTAGGCTGAATACCACATTCTGTAAAGTAGGTTTAGTTCTGTGTTTAGCGCATTGTACAACGCATTCGCTTTTTTTTGTATTTTCTCTAGTAATGTTTGTATCGCTACTAAACTTAACGTCTAGTTGCCATATCTCGTTTTGTGTGTGTGTGTGTGTGACTCTCGTATGTGACTCGCTTGTATGTTACCATAATAATTTTCATTAATGTATACTGGTAATACAAATTAGGTAATTATATGTCAATAAATTCTGTTTGTTTGTTTTAATTAAGCACAAAGCTACACAATGCACTATCTGTGCTCTACCCACCACAGGTATCGAAACACTGATTCTAGCGTTGTAAGTCCGCAGACATACCGCTGTCCTACTGGGGGCAACAAATTCTGATTCAAATATAAATTGAAACATACCTCTTATACCAAATGACGGCCCGGCATGGCCGAGTGGTTAGGGCGATCGACTCCTAATCTGTGGGTCGCGGGTTCGAATCCCAGTCCCACCAAACATGCTCGCCCTTTCAGCCGTGGGGGCGTTATAACGTGACGGTCAATCCCACTATTCGTTGGTAAAGAGTTGGCGGTGGGTGGTGATGACTAGCTACTTTCCCTCTAATCTTACACTGCTAAATTACGAATGGCTAGCGCAGATAGCCCTCGTGCAGCTTTGCGCGAAATCCATAGCAAATAATCCAAATAACTTCTAATAACCTTTAAAACAAACCTAATTAATATATAATACTATTTTATTCATGTATTTATCCCTAATAAATGTATTAAAGACAGTATTTTGTTTTTCTAGAGCGTCGTTAGTAACTTGAAAATCTAATTTTTGTGATGCAATAGATAAATTCCTCTGCCACGAACGCGAGATGATAATACGTCAGGTACTGATCTGTTAATCTTTATAAGATATACAAGATTTTCCAAGGACATTACGAGTGCGTTGAGAGTATTTCATGGCAATTGGCTTGGCACGGCCTGATGATTAGGGTGCTGGTATTCACAGTCTGAGGGCCCCATGTTCGAATCCCCCGTCACCGAACATGCTTGCCCTTTCAGCCGTTGGAGCGTTATAATGTGACAGTTAATCTCCCTATTCGTTGGTAAGAATAACCCCAAAAGGTTGGTGGTGGGTGGTGTTGAGTAGCTGCCTACCATTTAGTCTAATTAGGGACAGCTTGCGCAGATATCCCTCGAGAAGCTTTGCGCGAAATTCAAAATCGAAACCAGTCACAACCCTTGAAACCTCAACCTGTAGGTTGAATCTTGCAACTCACGTGCTTGAGATATGTGTGCTAAAATTATCTTTCGCGTTATTTTTCGAAAACGAAAACTATAAACATGCAAAAATATCTACTTTTAACTTATCCCTTTAATGGTTAAAGTTAAGAAGTTTAACTTCTTTGTGTAAGGCCGGTGTTTTGGATAAGTAATTTAGCTCATCCTTCTCTACTTATCCATGTTTTGACATCCTTCAATCTGTTCACTGAAGTCCATTCTATACTTAGAACAGACTGAAGGATGAAGCTCGGAAACTTGGAAATGAAGTCCATTCTATACTTAACCACGTTTCCGAGCTTCATCCTTCAATCTGTTCACTGAAGTCCATTCTATACTTATCCAAGTTTCCGAGCTTCATCCTTCAGTCTGTTCACTGAAGCTCATTCTATACTTACCCAAGTTTCCGAGCTTCATCCTTCAATCTATTCACTGAAGTCCATTCTATACTTACCCAAGTTTCCGAGCTTCATCCTTCAGTCTGTTCACTGAAGTCCATTCTATACTTATCCAAGTTTCCGAACTTCATCCTTCAATCTGTTCAAAGAAGTCCATTCTATACTTATCCAAGTTTCCGAGCTTCATCCTTCAATCTGTTCACTGAAGTCCATTCTATACTTATCCAAGTTTCCGAGCTTCATCCTTCAGTCTGTTCACTGAAGTCCATTCTATACTTATCCAAGTTTCCGAGCTTCATCCTTCAATCTATTCACTGAAGTCCATTCTATACTTATCCAAGTTTCCGAGCTTCATCCTTCAGTCTGTTCACTGAAGTCCATTCCGAGCTTCCTTTTTCAACATTCAATTGCTTTTTAACCACTCTTTACTTAACGTACAATTATAATTAATAAATTAATATAATAATCAAATGGAGCTCTAACCAAAATTTTCTTTCTCCTAAATAAAAACTTGTCACTTTAATCGAATATTCTACTAAATTACACTACAAAGCAAGAACACTTACTTTGCCGCTCTCTTCGTCCCAAGTCTCCTGACACTCGTAATAGTCTTCTCCAGCCCATCGAAACTTCTCAGCTCGGCTCTGGATCAGTTGTACACTGGAGAATCCAAAGGCAACCACCCATATAACCACTAAAATAAACAGTCCTCTGGATTTTGTCCAACCTTTACGCAGTGGGTATATTACAGCGTAATATCTGTAATTGAAACTGAAAGCTGGTAACCATGCTATAAATGAGTATTGGAATTAATTAAATAAAGATTATAAAAAAAGGTAACGTTAATGAACAAGATTCGGTTCACCATTATGATCCGGCTGATGAACACTTTTGGTGTGAATTCTTTAGTAGAATCTGTACGTAAGAAACGTAAGCACTCAGATACTGAGAGGTTAGGTACTGGGATATCTGTGCTGTTAGTCACTCTATTTTAATGAAAACAAACTCCTTTTCTGACACACAGTAGATAATATTGTAACGAATTAACCCTTAAATAGGTCATGTCGTGACGTCACATGTCCAACTGGGACGCTATAAATTTAAAACACAGCTCTCATTCATCTCTAATTTCACTTTAGGGGTTTCTTTCTGACAGTACACGTTATATTACCAAACTCTGGATTCGTTATCGGTAATATACTAGTATTACTTCTGTCATATTATCGTTTTGTAATCAATAATGTCTTCACACCTAACGTACTGCATGTGATAGTCAAATGAAATTTATTAACTATGTGATATAAAATTACCAGTTTCATTCGATATTTTAAACAAAACTTCGACCTCATAATACCACCCCCCCCCCTTACAACGAATTCAGTAATTTCTCATAATTTCTCTTCCCTTACTACGGTTTCAATCATTTTTGTAACCTCATAATTTCTCTCCTTATACAAAGATTTCAGTCAGTTTTGATACCTCATTATTTCTCTCCCCTTACAATTATTTCAGTCAATTTTGATACCTCATAATTTCTCTCCCCTTACTACGATTTCAATCATTTTTGTAACCTCATTTTTCCCCTCATACAATGATTTCACTCAGTTTTGTAACCTCATAATTTCTCACCTCATACAAATATTTCAACCATTTTTATAATCTCATTATTTCTCTCCCCTTACAATGATTTCAGTCAATTTTGATGCCTCATAATTTCTCTCCCCTATAACGATTTCAATCATTTTTTAACCTCATAATTTCTCTCCCCTTACAACGATTTCAATCATTTTTGTAACCTCATAATTTCTCTCTTCATACAAGGATTTCAACCATTTTTGTAACCTCATTATTTCTCTCCCCTTACAATGATTTCAGTCAATTTTGATACCTCATAATTTCTCTCCCCTACAACGATTTCAATCATTTTCTAACCTCATAATTTCTCTCTTCATACAACGATTTCAACCATTTTTGTAACCTCATAATTTCTCTCCCCTTACAACGATTTCAATCATTTTTGTAACCTCAGAATTGATTACACTGCAATTGCAACTGTTTGTAGTTGTATTACACAAAAAACAGATGAAAATCAGCTGAAATTAAATAAAATATATACTACTTTGAGATAGATAGAGACCAATGACTTCTTCGAGATTTAATTAATTTAGAATATATTAATATAAGTTTTAAGTTCGATGCTCGAAGCGCCCCCACTTGAAATGTAGATTATTATTAATCGATGTAATTGGAGAGTGAGCAGTTTTTTGATTTAATTAATTTAGAATATATTAATATAAGTTTTAAGTTCGATGCTCGAAGCGCCCTCACTTGAAATGTAGATTATTATTAATCGATGTAATTGGAGAGTGAGCAGTTTACAGTTTACTGTGTTTTAGTGATGACTTTAACCGTTTTCTATAATCTGTTGCTTATATAACTGATCTACTGTTTGTTCAGCTATGAAGTTAAAGTAATACTTGGTCTGTTATAAGCTCGTGCGAGGGTGGTAACATTTTATATGGCAAAAGGTAGACACACGCCTGCTTAAAGATGCGCCGAATCTTCACCAAATGTTAAATGGACTAGATCCTCAGTTCACCGATTTATTTGTTGTTCCAGTGACAGGTGGTCTGTATTATTTAAACCTATATAAAGCACTTTTCCACCTTCGTTGCCAGGCAATATGGAAGTGTGTGTGACATACCTAACTTTTAAATAGGACAGACTGTAGGTGTCTGATTAATAGGTAACTTAGTGACTCAAAAAATATAACTTCTTAGATTTGCAAAAGGAACATTGTCAGAGGTTACTACAGGATAGTAGTTATCTCATAAGTTTCATTGGGTGAATATAACAGCGGTTGTAAGATCATTAAACTGTGTTCTTCAGGAATGGAACCTGAGTCCTCAGCTCACCCTTCAGTAACTTGCAGGTTCCTCACTATAAAGAAATGAAACACTTCTAACAGCCAAAGATATAACAACACATTATTAAGCTTCTTCCAGCGAGTGTGTGAGTTTGTATTTTTCTCTCCAACAATTGTACACATTTTATTTTCCTGAAATTACAAATAGGGTGTCCTAAACAACTACATCCGTAGGAAACGAGCCATTTCTTATGCTTCTCTCGATCCCATGTTCCTTGAAGTCTCATTTGTTGCAACAAAAACTACAGCAAATCTAAGTCATATATATACATCTCTTAGGATAACATGTGCCCTTAAAGCCTGTCTTCTTAGCATTGCAGTTAGGCTAAATAAGAAACACGTTTCTACAAGAATGTGCAGGACTAATATGATTTTGGTTTCACCAAAAGACAATTCCCTTAGGGAAATAAAACCTACAGGGAAGGAACATTGAGGCTATCATGTAATAAATCTCATTTCTCTATGAGGCTAAGCTTTTGGAACACTCTGATTTTTTTCTGTTGCATCTGTAAATTAAAAGAACAACTAATTAGTAAATAATAAGAATATAATTAAAGACTGGTTAAGTTTTCGTTTAAAACACATATAACAATAATTTATGATACTATCAAATAAATGGACCATATTTTAAAATAAATCAGAAACACAGTTTCCCTAAACCATGCATTATTATAAAAGCATCATTTCGACCAGTGGTTGAGACATAACGCCAGGTGGTCAATGTATTTCAGAGTCGTTGCAAGACGTAAAAAACAGCTGATTAAAAATTCCTAGACAGATTTGGAATAGTTTCTGCTCCATGACTAAAAGAAGTTCCACTGGAACAGATCTATACGTCCTTCACGCTGCACCAGCAATGTCCTTATTCTGTTTCACGTTATGTTGTCACAATATAGTTGTGCATTGCAGCCTTATGATGAAGACATACAGAAATCAACTGGTGATAGTCTTTATAAAAACATTTTCGTGTTTTTCTCTATAAACTTTATTTTCAGTTTTCTGCTCACAGTTCTCTGCCCAAGTTACACACCAACCTCCTTAACAACCGCTTTAACGTAAGAGATTTGAATACAAATTAATATGATTCGAGAATCTGTTTCACGTTATTTTTCCGCTTCGAATTACTTTTGTAGACGGGATCTTTCAGTAAAATCAAAGTTCAATCTTAAAATGATATGTTTAGATTATTAATTTTTATATCAGTTTTAAAAATTTATTTAATTATCTTAGAGCTTATACAAATAAGATAGGACTAACAGAGGTTAATTTAAATACTTTTTCTCTTATAACATACTTTTTTGTCAGAATAATTTTACAAAACTTAAACATTTTCTCTCTCTCTCTGTCTTACAGAAACAAACGCCCTTAATGTCTGTCTTCTTTACATTACAGATAGGCTAAGTAAGAAAGACCTACAGGAAAGAGAGAACTTTCATAATTCTACTGTTTGTAACTAATAGTCCATCAAATGTAGTCTGCAATAATAATCCGTGATTTGTTTTAAGTAGTAATCTGTAATATTTGGTCTGTAGTGATAATTTTAGGTAACTGTTTATAATTTTTGTCTGTAGTGGTAATTTTGATAACTGTTTATAATTTTGGTCTGTAGTGATAACTTTAGGTAACTGTTTATAATTTTAGTCTTTAGTAATAATTTTCGAATCACTACAGACCAAAATTATAAACAGTTAGACTTTAGGTAACTGTTTATAATTTTGGTCTGTAGTGATAATTTTCGTTAATTGTTTATAATTTTGGTCTGTAGTGATAATTTTAGATAACTGTTTATAATTTTGGTCTGTAGTGATGACTTTAGGTAACTGTTTATAATTTTGGTCTGTAGTGATAATTTTAGATAACTTTTTATAATTTTGGTCTGTAGTGATGACTTTAGGTAACTTTTTATAATTTTGGTCTGTAGTGATAATTTTAGGTAACTGTTTATAATTTTGGTCTGTAGTGATAATTTTCGATAACTGTTTATAATTTTGGTCTGTAGTGATAGTTTTAAATAACTGTTTATAATTTTGGTCTGTAGTGATAACTTTAGATAACTATTTATAATTTTGGTCTGCAGTGATAATTTTAGGTAACTGTTTATAATTGTGGTCTGTAGTGATAGTTTTAAATAACTGTTTATAATTTTGATCTGTTGTGATAACTTTAGATAACTATTTATAATTTTGGTCTGCAGTGATAATTTTAGGTAACTGTTTATAATTTTGGTCTATAGTGATAATTTCAGGTAACTATTTATAATTTTGGTCTATAGTGATAATTTTAGGTAACTGTTTATAATTTTGATCTATAGTGATAATTTTAGGTAACTGTTTATAATTTTGGTCTATAGTGATAATTTTAGGTAACTGTTTATAATTTTGGTCTATAGTGATAATTTTAGGTAACTGTTTATAATTTTGGTCTATAGTGTTAATTTTAGGTAACTGTTTATAATTTTGGTCTGTAGTGACAATTTCTGGTTGTTTCAGTTAGTGGTCTGTAATAGTTAATCCTAATTTCTGGTTATTTCAGTTAGTGGTCTGTAATAGTTAATCCTAATTTCTGGTTATTTCAGTTAGTGGTCTGTAATAGTTAATCCTAATTTCTGGTTCTTTTAGCTAAAAGTCCATCAGATTTAGTCTATAGTGATAATTTCTAGTTGTTTTAATTAGTGGTCTATGATATTAAATCATAATTTCTGGTTCTTTTAGTTAAAAGTCCATCAGATTTAGTCTGTAATGATAATTTCTGGTTTTGTTAGATAGCAGTAGTAGTCCAAGATACTTTGCCTAAAGTGTTTGTTTGTTTTCAGATACCGTTATATCATACTTTGCCTATAGTGATAAATTGTTTGTTTTGGGTTTTTTAGGTCAGATTTGATTTGTGATAATGTAACAGCTCTTGTATTCTATATTTTGTGAGCTTCGGTTAACGTTCTCGTATGTAGAAGCTCGAGAGTCGAGTGTATGTGTAGTTTTTTTTCCAACATCCTCATCTCCTTGAGCGTTACTTGTGAGAGGCTTAGTCATCTAATATATTATCATGACATCAGTTGCTCCTATTTCATTCGTTACACAGACCTAATCGGCGAGGAAAAAATAAAAATGTTAGGCGTTCTTCCTTCTAGGTTTTCGTTCTCATTCTTCCGAAAATGTTTAGGTTTCGGTTTTATGTTATTTTCGTGCACGTTATAAGAAACGTTTGAATGGTGTAACAAACGACAGATGGCTTCTGGCTCACTTGCACTAAACATAATATATTCTAGATTATTCAAGGTCCAAGTTTACAGCTATTATTATTTTTCACGTCAGGTTTGATATCAGTAGTTAAAGCCGTTAATAACATAAGGCATTCTTCATTTTTGTTTTAACTTCGCGTATACAGGTTTTGTATTATTAGATAATACAAGTGCTTGCTTCCTTAAGACACGCTGGTTCGTCTTTCATGCAGGTAATTTGTTACTTACTATAGAATATCAGAGATACCAGTCATCTGCCTGTTCAGACACATTCCATTTACTTCTGCATCTTTGTACCAAGAATGTGAGTCCTTGTCTCGTTGAGCTCAATAAGTAACGTATTTCAATTCATTTCTTACAAACTATTCGGATGAGAACGTATTCAATGTCCAGGACCAGCTGTGATAATCACTGCTACAGAGAGAGAGAACGTAAATCCGTTTCTGAAGGTTATTAATATTGTTCTAATCGTTACTAATTAAAGTACCTAACACTAAAGGAAACTCTATCTCAACATCTTTTGTTTGTTTGTTTTTTACAACATAAGCGAAGAGATAAAATCCAATGTTATTCTTTCTGCCAAGTAAGCCAACGTGTGTGTGTTTTTTTTTTTCGTGTTATTATTTCGTTTCAACTCAGTTCGAAACCGCCTCAGTTAATAAGTCGATTTTATGGTCTTTCACTTTGTAGCTTTAGTAAGCTAAGTATCTCATTACACAAAATTTATACCTAGCAGAAAGTAATCTACTAACCCTCTGCCTACCTAAACCTATTGTGACAATTACGTTGAGAACATCACGTGAAACACCAAACTAGCTATTTAAACATCAAATAAAAATAATTTCAGCTACACTGGCGCTAATAACGAGAATCTCAAGTATAAATCAGAGAAAGAAAATAAGATTAGAGTGTGCTTGTTAAGAATAGTGTGTTCCCAACACAGCCAAGTTTGATAAGCTAGTTAAGAAAGTTCGAGAATAATAAGAACAGTCTCACCATTTAGAATTGTGATCCAGTAACAAGTATATCATATAATATTTCAACACTCAAGATTGTGATCCAGTAACAAGTATATCATATAGTATCTCAACACTCAAGATTGTGATCCAGTAATAAGTATATCATATAATATTTCACCACTCAAAATTGTGATCTAGTAACAAGTGTATCATATAGTATCTCAACACTCAAGATTGTGATTTAGTAACGAGTATATCATATAGTATCTCACCACTCAAGATTGTGATCCGTAACGAGTATATCATATAGTATCTCAACACTCAAGATTATGATCCAGTAACAAGTATATCATATAATATGTCACCACTCAAAATTGTGATCCAGTAACAAGTATATCGTATAATATCTCACCACTCAATATTGTGATCCAGTAACAAGTGTATCATATAGTATCTCAACACTCAAGATTGTGATCCAGTAACAAGTATATCATATAGTATCTCAACACTCAAGATTGTGATCCAGTAATAAGTATATCATATAATATTTCACCACTCAAAATTGTGATCCAGTAATAAGTATATCATATAATATTTCACTACTCAAAATTGTGATCCAGTAACAAGTGTATCATATAGTATCTCAACACTCAAGATTGTGATCCAGTAACAAGTATATCATATAATATTTCACCACTCAAAATTGTGATCCAGTAACAAGTGTATCATATAGTATCTCACCACTCAAGATTGTGATCCGTAACGAGTATACCATATAGTATCTCAACACTCAAGATTGTGATCCGTAACGAGTATATCATATAGTATCTCAACACTCAAGATTATGATCCGTAACGAGTATATCATATAGTATCTCAACACTCAAGATTGTGATCCTTAACGAGTATATCATATAGTATCTCAACACTCAAGATTATGATCCGTAACGAGTATATCATATAGTATCTTAACACTCAAGATTGTGATCTAGTAACAAGTATATCATATAATATGTGACCACTCAAGATTGTGATTTAGTAACAAGTATATCGTATAATATCTCACCACTCAATATTGTGATCCGTAACGAGTATATCATATAGTATCTCACCACTCAAGATTGTGATCCGTAACGACTGTTTCTTTCAATTCTAGCAACTTAGATAACGATTACACCTCATATTATTTTACCACTCAAAACTATGATCAAACATAAATCACTCCTTCTAGTATCATGCCACTCAGAATCTTAATCATATAATTACCATGTCTTTTACAAGAGTGACACACTTTTTAAACCATGATTATTTATTATTGAAAAAAAAACATATTTCACTCCTTCTAGTATCATGCCACTCAGAATCTTAATCATATAATTACCATGTCTTTTACAAGAGTGACACACTTTTTAAACCATGATTATTTATTATTGAAAAAAAAACATATTTTGTTTATTTATTGATCATATAAACACTTAAGATTTGTACCGATGTCAGTTTAGTGCTGATAGTCATAATATTAACCTGCCGAGCTAAAGTCAAATGTGATAACCACAATGTTAACCTGTCTAGGTCAGGTTAAAGATGACAGCTGTAATAACGACCACCTTGTGTGACAATTAAACGCTTCTCATGCGATACTGTACATAACATTTGGTAATTCACAGTTCGTCATTTAAAGGAATTACAGCTGATTAACTTACCAGCAAACTCTGACTGTCATCCATATTTTACAAGGTCTATAGCATCTGATAAACTTGCCAGTTAACTCTGACTGTCGTTCGTATTTCACACGGTCTTTTACGTCTGATTAACTTACCAGCAAACTCTGACTGTCGTTCATATTTTACAAGGTCTATAGCGTCTGATTAACTTACCAGCAAACTCTGACTGTCGTTCATATTTTACAAGGTCTATAGCGCCTGATAAACTTACTAGTCAACTCTGACTATCGTCCATATTTTACATGGTCTATAGCATCTGATAAACTTGCCAGTTAACTCTGACTATCGTTCGTATTTTACACGGTCTTTTACGTCTGATAAACTTACTAGTCAACTCTGACTGTCGTCCATATTTTACATGGTCTATAGCATCTGATAAACTTGCCAGTTAACTCTGACTATCGTTCGTATTTTACACGGTCTTTTACGTCTGATAAACTTATCAATCAACTCTGATAATCGGTACTACTGTATCACAACACCTGATAAATATATTACTCACCTCTGACCATCTTCACTACTGTATCTCAACCACAACAGATAATAAACTTACCTGTCAACTTTAACAGTCGCTACTGCTGGAAATTGACCTCGACTCCTGTTAAAATTTACCAGTTAAAACTAATAAATGTCTTGCTAAAATATGTAATAGAATTATAAGTCAGTAATCACAAATGTAACTACCGGTATATTACCACAGAATATTACAAAACCAACAGTCAGCTTTGTTAGTCGTCACTGCCTGAATACTGATCACAACATCTAATGAAACTTATTAGTTATCATTGACAGATATTACTTGTTAGGGTTAGCAGAAACACGATAAAACTTAACATCCAACGATGACAGTTTTTGACTGGTACAACATTTGGAGAAAATTGAATTTTTGACCTTGATAAAAACACCTAATAACTTATCTATCAATATTATTGCGCGTTAAGTCTGTACTATCCACGACCCGCGAAACTTAGCTTGCTAAGTCTGATAAGTGTTTTCTTGATAAAAATCCTTAATAACTTATCATTTATGAACAGCGTTCGTTAACGTCTGATGTACTGACTCCTTAACTTTCTACGCCTAATAAAAGTTATCTTAGTAACGATCTTTAAAGACTTATCTATAATGTCAACTCTTCATCATTGCTTACCGAGAATTGCAAGATAGAACGTTCGAAGTTTGACCAATGTCCTTATAAGTAACAACTTACCTGTCCAGCCCAACCGCGGTCAGTGTGTACACGCTAACGATGACCGAACTATGCTGCATGAACAGGACAAAAGGACAGAAGTGAGGGTCAAATATCCACCGTCCTAACATGAAGTCTGTGTAAGTAAAGGGAATGGAGAAACTTGCCATGGTGATATCAGAAACAGCTAGATTAATGAGAAAAATGCGAAGATCGCGGGATGATCGCTTCCCTAGAGCCAAAACCCCAACAACCGTAACGTTTCCACTCAGCGCTAAAAGAGCGGTCAGAGAATAAACAATGATCAGGACGACTTGCATCTCTGGACCCAGAGCTTCCAGAGACGGGTAGTCGTCAGAGTTCGACAAGTTGGTTTTGTTCAGAAAATACTTGGGATCCATTCAGAAGAAGCTGACAGTTTCAAGATATTGACGAAACGTTTCACAGCATAGTATACAAATTACAGGGAGGTTTTAGACACAAGCCAGGAAATTCGCTCTTCATCAGCTGTGTTCGTTAAACCAAGGAAGTCTCGGCACTGTGAAATCTAACAGCAGGTCAGGATCGGCTAGAACTGTGCGCA